ACTGTTTCGCAAACAGTACAAAGAATACCTATTTATCGTAATCAAATTTAAAATTATTAAAATCCGGCATGTTATCCAATTACAAGATACTATTTATGAATCACGTGTATTTTATCGATATCGATATTGATTACATTAATTCATCTTTAAAAAAATGAGTAATTTCTAATCATTAAAATCAACTAACGCTATTCCTGATCAATTAACAGGTAAAACACTTACAGAAACCCACCCCCAACACCACCGCCACAAGCGACAAATAGAGGAATGAGCTGTTTATAAAGTCAAAAAATAGCCAATTAAATTTTTTGAAATAAACGTAATATAAAATACTATGAGAATACAAAAATAGCTAATACACATACAGCCGGATTCTTCGAAAAAAAAGCAGTAAATGAGGACATAATTACACTTTTTAATTACACGTTACGGATTTTTAAAACAATATGGAAGGAGAATTGCCGTGAGAATTTGTTGTTTGGCACTTTTTTATGATTTTTATAATATGTCACAATTCACGTGATTTGGTTAGCCATCGTCAAGAAAAGTCTTGCGTTACGCACGGTTAAAAATATCTAAAGTACATACATTTGTAATTTTAATCTGCAAGATGTAATTGGTGTTCAAAACACAAAAATGTTAGTGGAACAGGTAAAAACATCTTTTCTTTTTTAATGTATAAATTTATGCACAGTCATGAGTTCTCAACTTTGGCTCGATATAAAGAAACCTAAATGTGTCTAAAGATAACCAATTTGTATAAATATTACCAGTTTGGTTGGTGCATTTATCAGGTTAGCCTCGTAGCACAACCGAGGGCGTACAGGTTTCCTTAAGATTTTCCAAGCCACTTTCTTTTTACCATATTTATACCGTAGTCGTTCTTTTAGCTATTCGTTTTAAAGATAAAAGGCCTTCTATCCATCCAACTTTTAATACTCTCCTTTCGCACAAGTAAAACCTGTTTACAATCTCCCCATTTCTTCTTATTATTACTTATTACTCTTATATTCCCTAAAAATATTTGCTTATTGATCGAAGAATTATTTTTACAATCTCTCCGCTTTCAATATTAAAATGCCTGCCGACCAACAACAAAAATTCACCGGTCACGTTGGTAGCTTAACTCCTCAGCAAACTGAAACCTTGGAAAAGTTCCGTAGTGAACTAAATCAAGAGGGTGTCTTTGACGCAAGACGTCACGATGATGCCTGTCTACTTCGATTTTTACGTGCTAGAAAGTTTGACCTTACTAAAGCTAAAAAAATGTTTTTAGATTGTGAAAAATGGAGAAAAGAGTTTGGTGTTGATGAGTTGGTCAAATCTTTCGATTACAAAGAACGAGATGAGGTAATGAAACATTACCCTCGATATTATCACAAGACAGACAACGACGGACGCCCAATCTATATTGAAGAAATTGGAAGGATGGATGTGAAAGCCTTGTATCAAATTACTACTCTTGAACGTCAAATGCAAAATTTGGTCGTCGAATATGAGAGACTTGCAGATACTAGACTTCCAGCTTGCTCTAAAAAGAGCGGAAAGCTCATCGAAACCTCCTGCACTATCCTTGATCTTAAGGGTGTTTCCTTACGTTCTTTTGCAAGTGTATCTAGTTTCGTTAAACAAGCATCAAACATTGGTCAAAATTATTATCCAGAACGAATGGGAAAATTCTATATCATTAATGCTCCTATGCTTTTCTCTTCGGTATGGAATTTTGTAAAACCTTTGTTGGATGAAGTCACTGCTGCAAAAATTGTCATCTTAGGTTCGAAATATAAGCAAACATTATTGGAAAACATCCCTGCTGAAAATCTACCTACCGCCTTTGGTGGTACATGTGAATGTCAAGGAGGTTGTCAACTTAGTGATGCAGGTCCGTGGAATGAGGATCATGCGCAAGAAAATGGTCATGTACACGAAAATGGAACTGCGTCAGTTGCTTAAAAAATGAACACTTCTTTGAATGTATTTTTTAATAGATTTTGTGGTATTCGTTTTCCATTTTTCTTTTGTCCATTTTTTGTTTTTTTCTTTTTCTTTTGTCCCAATTTCCTTTTTTCTCGTTTTTCTCTTTACATTAGAAAAGTATTTTTTTTGTACATATCAAAGACTAAATACTTTATTTAATTCTGCCGCTTATTTCAAGCGTTAAGCATTTATATAATTTTTCTTAGAGCCACGGGAAAATGTTAAAAGGGACTTATTATAATTTTTATAAATTTGTTTTTAATACCATCGATGTACCAGTTTTATTTTTTAGTTTATACATTTTACCGTGGGGATCGAACAATTTTACTATTTCACAACAAAAATATAGAATAATACACTATTTTTTGTCTAATTAAAACTGGTTACATCCATTAAACAATATATATAAACACTTACAAATACGATATATCAATGTTCTCGTTTGTGTTCTTTACAGTTTCTTAGGATTTGTGCAACCCTAATATTTTAATCTATCCAACAGTTATTGATTACCGAGCGATGCATATTATTGCCTAAGAACATCAATGATCTTCTACCTTATTTTTTTTTGTTT